GTGTGGAGCCTTCTTGGAACCGCTGAAAGGACTAGATCATCTATCTCCAGTCTACCACACAGTCCTTTCAGCAGTTCCAAGAAGGCTCCACACCCATTTGCACCACTCAGGTGACCTTGAGGACACAGACAAACCTCCAAGTGGCCTCAACGACCCTCTGAAAAAATGCAAATGACCAGCTGTCTGCAAGGAGTATAAATCCTTCCGTTCCCCACCATCCAGGCAGAGCTGAAGAAGCTTCTGGGATGAGAAGCGAAACGTCTTCAAAGAAAAAACAAGAAAGTCCAGTTGCCTCCTGAAAAAAAGCACCTTTGGGACAACCCTGACCTGGATGACGGAGAATCTCCACAGACATATTTCAGATAGCCTTCGCAGTTGCTTAATAAGTCTTATTGAGCTGAGGGGCACCAGGGATTGTAATTATGTGCAGCCATTTTTCTGAATTCTAAATCAGCGGCTCTCCACCGGCGACACACGTCGCAGGCTAATTAAAAATTTAAGCCTTTAAAACTTATTGTCAGTTATCATAAGGGCATCCCTTTAATCATGTTAATGCTTCTCAGAGATAGACGGGAGTTTTGTCCCTAGAATGGCGAGACCAGGGACTTTGTAAGAGACTGCTTGGTTGGGTGTACGATGCAAAACGTTGGCAGCCACGCCACCCACGTGGCTGCCAAACCCCTTCAGCTGCTATAAACCACGATTGATTCTGCAGGTGGTCCTCAAACTTACAACAGTTCCTTCAGTGACCGTTCCAAATTCCAATGAAAAAGAGGTGACTGAAAACTGTTTTTCCACTGCATCCCCAAGGTCACATGATCAAAATTCAGACACTTGGCAACTGACTCGTATTTATGGCGGTTGCGGCGTTCTGGAGTCACGTGATCCCCTTTTGCGACGTTCTGAAGTGAAACGTCTTCAAGGAAAAAACGAAGAAAGTCCAGTCAGAACTGAAGAAGCTTCTTGGATGAGAAGCGAAACGTCTTCAAGGAAAAAACGAAGAAAGTCCAGTCAGAACTGAAGAAGCTTCTTGGATGAGAAGCGAAACGTCTTCAAGGAAAAACGAAGAAAGTCCAGTCAGAACTGAAGAAGCTTCTTGGATGAGAAGCGAAACATCTTCAAGGAAAAAACGAAGAAAGTCCAGTCGGAACTGAAGAAGCTTCTTGGATGAGAAGCGAAACATCTTCAAGGAAAAAACGAAGAAAGTCCAGTCAGAACTGAAGAAGCTTCTTGGATGAGAAGCGAAACGTCTTCAAGGGAAAAAAAACAAAGTCCAGCTTTCTTGGCAAAATCACCCTAGACAAGAAATCCTGCAACCTGACTGCATTGTTTGCTACATTAATTGCCCGGCTCATTTTTTTAATTATTACATTCATCTAACATTTGGCCAAAGTTTCTTATCTTAGCTTGTTCATCTCATTTTGTGTCATTTTGCAGACTCGGAGAGCTGTTCAGAAGGACCTAATATACATTGATGAACAGAGAGTCATGATGGTTTATCTCTTCCCGCTGAATGAAATTGTAGTGGATTTCTTCGATGCGTTGAAATCCTTATCGTCTGGTTATGCCAGGTAAGTTAACTTGGTTATCACGGTAAGACATTCTGTGCTTGTATAATTTTGAATCTGGGAGATCCGATGCTAGATTCTATTAACTTTTTTTGAAAATGAGATGTTTGAATTGTGTAATTTTGAAGCTGGGAGATCCGATGCTAGATTCTATTACCTTTTTTTGAAAATGAGATGTTTGAATTGTGTAATTTTGAAGCTGGGAGATCCGATGCTAGATTCTATTAACTTTTTTTGAAAATGAAATGTTTGATTTGTGTAATTTTGAAGCTGGGAGATCCGATGCTAGATTCTATTAACTTTTTTTGAAAATGAAATGTTTGATTTGTGTAATTTTGAAGCTGGGAGATCCGATGCTAGATTCTATTAACTTTTTTTGAAAATGAGATGTTTGATTTGTATAATTTTGAAGCTGGGAGATCCGATGCTAGATTGCTCAGTCGTTTTAGAACACTCAAACATGATGTTGGTTGAACTAACCGCTGTTGTTTCAGTTTTGACTATGAAGACGCAGGATACCAGCCTGCGGATCTCGTCAAAGTGGATATTTTATTAAACGGAAAAGCCGTAGAAGAGCTGATAACCATTGTGCCTAGGTAAGCCAATCGCACACACATTCATTTTCAAAAATCATAATATCATTTGAATAAGCTACCCAAACCACGTATTAATTTTCCATGCATTTTATTCTGGGGACGGTGTGTGTGTGTGTGAACCAACATCCTTGCCGTTGAAAGTTTAAATTGTTAAACAAGCAAACTCTGAAGTATGAATAAGTAAGTAAGGGGCAGAATCCTGTCCTCTGGATTGGAGAAATTGTCTATTTTAAGGGTGATTTCCTGGTTTTGTTTAAAGTCTTCAACTACCTTTTTTTTTTTTTTAGATTCTCGGTTTTGCCACATAAGACATTGTCCGTCTCACAGTTTAAATCTTTCCCTGGGTAAAATTGCATTTATTTAGCCTTCCCCAAGTTGAAATGGAAAATATTAGCATGTTTTTTTTTTAAAAAAACAAACCCTGCATTGAGAAGTTTTAAGATTCAAATATATCGCAGGGAGATTGAGAAAGCAGGGTTGCGAAAGCAGAATTACCTCATCGAGACCAGAATGTTCTGTCCCCGTTCCGACCCACACACCCAAACAGCCAGCCGAGGGTTAAAGACTTCTCCAGACACCACTTCACAGATAAGAAACTTGGCAGCAGCTCCGTAGCTGCCTGCCAAGACCTTTTACTCCAAGCACACAGAAACAAAAAACAATACACACAGTTTAAAGCCACAGCAAACTACTTCGCCAGAGAT